ATCTTCTGTTATTCGACTACCTCGTTAAGTGTTTTACTGCCGTACACTATTTTGAAAGAAGAAAAAGGATTTCAGCAAAGAGTCTCTTTTCGGCAGTTTCATTTTCAGAGATGTATTATCTTGTCGCCAAACGATTTCTAACGACTCTAAGGAGAAACTTTCGCATCTGACCACTTCAATGTGCATATACCAATTCACCTTCTCCTGTGGAGCCAGGTATACAGGTCGTCCGATGCGACTGTTATCCAAAAGGGTTCAAGGACACTATCTCACGTGGTTACAAAGAGGTAACAATGGAGCGATAAAGAGTGTTATAATTGAGCACATCGTGAACATGAGTCACTCTGTCTCAAGAACCTCGTCATTCAAAGTCATCTATAAAGTGACAAGAAACTTTCCAAAGTCTGTATGTCTTCGTATTCTCTGCATCACTCAAGCTCTTACCATCCATGTGGAGAAGCCTGAACTGTGTACACATAGAAGATTATTTAGCTCCTTCTCCTCTCATAGTCTTAGTTTTCAGTCTTTGAAATCTCTACTGCACCCCCCTTTTCATTTTCAAGGTTTGACACTATTCACTTCTTAAGTAATTTGCTATCCTTTCTTGTTGCTGTACTCTGTCTGATCATGCTTCACTTTTCAACTGTTACCTTGTTACGGAACGTTCGCTAAAATATACTTGTTCTTCTTCTGTACACTGTTTTGTAACATTATTAAGTATGGATATAAATGCGTACAGAGTTTTGTACTTAGAGTGACTCTAAGATCCAGTCTAACAACTTCTGAAATAATCAATTAAGACTTTCTATTTTATCAAATAAGTCAACTTAATTTAGGTTTGTTTATGTAGATAATTTTTACTTGAATTTTAATCCCGTTTATTCGATTTTTAATGCGATTACTGTGGCTTTTTTTTTTACCATTGTGGCCTCAACAGTCTTGTCTTGTCGCTTGAAATCTTTGCTCTGTTTCTACTCACAGTGTCAATATATATATATATATATATATATATATATATATATATATATATATATATATATGAGGGTGTTAGTCTGTTAATCTGTTTTATGCACTGATGATTATACACGTGATATCGTTTATTTGTGTACAAGTTGCGTCTTTTTCACTGATCAATAGTACATACGTATAAATATAAGATATGAATGCATTTATGCAATATACGTCCAGTCAATTTTCAAGTGAATACTATTGTGTTATACAGTGTTAAGCTAGCTAAACAAAAGTTGAATGTTAGTATAATTGCTTGTATTATACCATCGCTGATTAGACCGAATTGATCGGTCTCTATTGGCATATGGGCTCCTGTGCGGATGCCTCGATAATGCCTATGTTTTGACTATATATAGTAATGATGGGTAGTAGCTACCAGTGGAATCCAGGGTTCGCACTTCGTCCTGTTTGGAACTCACCAGCTGGATGTACCTGCCTCCCACTGAGTGATGGATTCAAACTCGGGATCGATCACTTCAAACGCTAGAACGTTATCCACTAGACCAGCGAGCCACTATACAAGCAATTATACTCAAACTATACCCGTCGCACAAGAAGTGATTATCGTGACTCGATGTAGTGGATAACGCTCTGGCGTTTGAAGCAATCGCTCCCGAGTCTGAATCCCGGTGGGAACAAGACTCACTGGGAAGCAGGTACAACCAGCTGACGAGTCATTGGTTCCTTTTTGTGTGTTGACAAGTAAATAGCAATCTTGTGGGCTGGTAACATCTCTCAGAAAGGGTTATGTATGTTTAGCTCTCTTTATACCATACTTATACTAAAAAAGGCACCACATATCCACACGGCTGCGACATAGGCATCATGCTTCCAGAACATATCCATTGCTTTTTGTTTGATAACTTTTCCTGGTTGTAAGTAGTCTCGAAGATAGTTGCCCTCATGGTGAGTCGCCTAATTCGGACGTCTCAAACGCATACAACAGAAAACATGGTCTGGTTCTTATTGTCTGCATATCGTAGGGGATCTGATTCATCTGTACATACAATTAAATTACCTGATCATAATTTACAAAAATGAGACAAGTGATTTCAAACATAAAATCTGGAATGAAGCTCAATAATGAACTTCACTCAACATTCAATTATTTCGGAAATGTCGATGGGGTCAATCGAAACTTTTGGAATGACTACACCATTATGTAACTAATTAATTCATAAGTAGAATAACTTTTAAAATAATATGACGAATGATGCTTATCTAAGAGTGACGTTTTCCAGTGGGAATTTTCGGTAACCCAATGTTCTAACAGGTTACTAGAAATCATCGTTCAAATGTACACCATTTTCACATTCTTTTGTTTTACGGTTATTCAATGGTACTCAACAACCTCGCCTGGTTAACTAGTTCACTAGTTACTAGCCGATCCTAAGCCCGGGTAATGGAGGGAAGGTTGAACATAGGGCTAGCAACCCTACCCCGTAAAATCAATCCAACCGCTACAGAAACTTCAAAACACAGACAAAATATAAAAATTAAAAGTGAACTTATTCCTTCCTGGAATCGGGGAGACAAAATGACGCCGGTTGGTGAACGCTTTCCGGAAGCCAATTGGCCGATGTGTCTTCTCTCAATGAAAGCGAAAGTAAGGATGGGGACATTGAATGTCTGCACTATGCTTGAACCTAGCAAGGCTAAATTGTGGAGATCTTCGGCACTCAGCATAAAGCGTGAAGAAGATGCGAATTTTCAACCTCAATGTCAAGTCAGTGCTTCTATATGATTCAGAGACTTGGCGCGTTACGAAAAGCATTTCCAACAAACTACAGACATTCATCAATAACTGCCTATACTGGCTCGTTACTGAAGCTCAGATGGCCAGAAAGAATAAGGAACAAGGAACTCTGGCAACGAACCAACCAGGAACCTATAGCTCAACAAATATGCAGTGGAAGAAGTGGAGATGGATTGGGCATACACTGAGAAGGCCGACTGGGGACATCACGCGCCAGGCACTCGAGTAGAGTCCAAAGGGGAAACGATGAGTTGGGCGTCCGAGGCAGGGGTGACATGGAGGAGATCGTGTGAAGAAGAAATGAAAAGTTGTGAGCAGTGGTGGGGCCAGGTTGAAAAGACTGGAGAGAAGAGAGTGAAATGGAGGTGTGGTACTGAAGCCGTATGTTCCACTAGGGACGAATGATAATAATGTAATAATAATAATGGTACTCAATCATAGATGATTATTTAACGATTAGATATGCTCATAACCTCCTCATTTGTTGTACTACTTGTACAATATCGAATGAGAAGGTTTTCGGGAAACTCAAATAAATACCGTTGCACCTCTCACTATTGAAATCAGTAAAAAAAATATCTCTCCATTGAAATGCTTTGTTTACTATTACGATTCATATGTAATCAATAGATCCTTTTGAAAAATCTTAGAATATAGAATATTTTAAAACTATTCATTGTGTACATGTGTATTGTCACGGAGTTATTTTGGTATATAACTCTAAAAGAAAGAATAAAAGTGAATGAATTCATGACTTTCGGTGCTATAATCACATTCCTTTCCAGTGAATAACTAATTGTTTTGTTTTTTAAAGCTCATTTATGCGCAATCAGTGTACAAATTCAAGGTCATAAAGAAGTAATTGATCAATATAAATCATGATCAGTTGTCAATTTAAGTCTACCCTCATTTAAGAAGTATTTAGTGTTAATAATATCTATTGTATAACTTGGAAACTATTGAATACATTCCAAGTGTACTGGTTTGTAAGTAGGACAGTAAGTGATGTTTTCTGGGATCTCTACATTGGTTATAGAATTCCTGCATTACGTTGGTATTCTTCATAGACTGAAATCATTTGGAGGAACACTGGAAACTTGAGAGCACTGGACAGTTGTCTCATCCTAGCATGGAACTCCTCAGCAATGTACGCCCATGACCCCACCAGGGGTCGAACCCAAAATGTCCACGTTCCGTGGTCGGACGCTGCCGTTGACCCACTGGGTTGACGGAATCCAATGGTCCATATTTCCAACTACTGTCAGTTCTCTACATAGTGTTGCCATCACCCAATGTCATCGTTGAGTATTTGTCCTCACGACCACCAGGTTGGTCCCACCGGTCACGACTTCTCATTGGAACTTGGAACGTTGGCTAACTAAAACCCCTAGCTCAGAGAACAATTCACTCTGAACATCCACGTTCTGAGCTATAAATGTTCACCACATTTTGTGTGATTATACCCCTGTGATGTGATCGTTGAGGCTGTCAACTTGCATTGGATTAGTTGCCTTGTGTTACGCACATGGAGCGGAGTTACCATCTACTTCAATGCTTGATGTTAGGCGAAGTATGATAGGGTTGTGGCTCATTGGTTTAGGAGGTTGGCTTACAACCAGTGGGTCGTAGATCCAGACACCGTTCCACCTACCGAGGTTTGGGTTTCATTAGCTCTCACAGGTTACGTGTGGTTCACTGCTAAATGCACAAATTTGCACGAGGTAATCAAGTGATGTGAACTGGGTTGGTAGAAGGCTAAGCATGGTCATTCCAACCACATGGCACCTATGCATGAAGTAAGTCACTGGCTGTAACGGTTTGAGATATGTAGGGAAGTGTAGTCTGTCTATCTATCTATCTGATAGTGATTCTTTTCCTGATATAACTCAAGATCGAGCTCATTGATAAACAGTTCTCATTTACTTTTATTTTATCATTCCCTCTTGTCTCATGCAGTTTTGTCTACTTCTGCGTTATTCTTTCTGTACCTAATTCTTCTGTGAAGTTCGATAACTGTAATCGATACACTTTTGTGCCAGGTTGTATATTGTTCCGTTTGCGTGTTTGTCAATATTTCATTTCCTGGATATCTTTATTCGTTGTAGAGTAGTCCATGATTGATTCACGATTTGTTTTCTCCGACGGAAATAATGTTTTATTATTAATCGTCACAATTGATTGTTTTTATTCAAGTATAGTGTTATTTGTATATTTTGATTTTTGTATTGTTTAGGATGAAACAAGTACAGATGGCAGGGTCAGAATAATCACAATCAGGTCATCCAAGCCAGCTACACGTGAGTCTGCTTATGTATTTATGACTAACTTTGTAGAATAGTATAAATTGTAGATTGATGCATTGGCTGTAAACCAAACATATTGAAAAAGTGAATTAACTTACGTTGTGATATGAAAGGTTTCGAAGCAAAGGATACTACTAAAACTTATCCATGAGTGGTCATTTAATAAAGCCACCAGAAACTAACGAATTGGATTTCTGTCGGTGCCGCATTCATCTTGGTAACCCAGAGTGATGGAGTCCACGACTCGTGTTCCCTCCTGTTCGGGACTCTTCAGCTGGATATACTTGCACCCCAGTGAGTGATGATATCCTCACTGGGGTATTTTTACTACCAATTGGTTTGTAAAAGTGCCCTCTTGATAGGTATCACCATGACGTGGTCGTCAGGCTTATTAAAAATTCAAAATGACCCGACTAGCTTTATTAACTGGAACGCTTGTTCCCTCCAGGTCCTACCATATCAGAAAGCGATTACAAAGAAAAAATTTTTTCGACGAAATCTTTTTCGTAGCTGTAGCTGTGAATACATGATGTTAAGGATAAAGCACTCCGAAGTAATTTCCGATCAAAGGTCAATACAAATTGTGCAACAAAAGGAAGTTACGTGGTGTTTATAGGCTTTGGGTAGGGGTTAAACAAACGGTAGCTACCATTACAGGTTAAAAATTTGAAACGCCGCAACGGGGGTCCGAAGATGAAACCATACTACTAACTGGACAGAGAGTATGATAGCAGTAAGTTGTTTCCGTTGGATGACCAGCGGTGCCCGCTGATGCTACCTTCCTTATGCGAAAGGGGGTTATCACACTCCCACCCCCTCATGGAATACTGATGCTTGTGACAGGGATTCATAGTCGGATTCTAAGGGGAAGGAACCAAAATCCAAAACGTGCAAAAAGACCATGTGTGACTGGTCTTAATCAGATATCCTTGTGTTTTGCAGTCATACATTAAACCTTCTTTTTTGAGTTACTTCAGGAAGACCTAGCCTTCCATGGTATGGGTAGTCGAGAAGTGTCAGCAGCCTTCACAACTCTGTCAGCTCTCAAGTTCCCTCTGATGTTGTTAACGATGATAAAAGTACCTCATACTAAGTTTTAGAAAACATCTAATCACTTCAGAGTTCAGTTTAAACCTAATCAGTCGATTAAACTAGCGCTCGTACTAAATAATGAAGAAATGGCTTACCGACTAGGTATCTTATAAATTTGTTACTTGATGATGAATAGAGGTAGCTAGTTAGAATCTCACCGCTACCTAGATTTTCATTTCTCTATTAGTCGTCTACTATTATCAATACAAGTCAGCCAAACGATGGGTGTGTCAGATAATCAAACTGATATTATGAATTTTAGGATATATGGGATATCGATATTTCTAAATTCTATTCAGCTAAATCTATCCTTAACTATGAAACAGTATTTAGTAACTTTTCTTTGCTAGGAGTAAGCGACCTGTTGTGTTTCACTGTCCGAGTATGCACTCCAGTATTAAAACATATAGTTATAGTTCTAATAGCGCTCACCTTAGCTTTTCATTTGAAGTGAAGTAGTGTTCTAAACGCCGGGGCTCATTAAATTACCGACTCTTAGACTTCCTCTTCTGGTGATAATTACCTGTCTGTAATCTTTAAAATCACAAAAGTTAGCTAACCTTTAAAAATTCACCTTCTAAACTACGTGGTTTAAATAGTTGACTTTCAATTAGTGGGCTGGGGGTTCGGGCATTGTCCCACCTACCGAGGTTTGTTACCACTAAAGTTTAGTTGAAACTGACAATATTAAAGGCGAACGACTTCTTGTCTAGATAAGATCAATACAGTTTTTGTTCAAAGCTATTCACTGGAGATCTCTGCAACACTAATATGATGAGGAACTACCATTTCATCAGATCGAGTGTTCACTATAACCCAAGTTACGTCAATAGAAGTTTATCTTCATCTCTTCACTTCAATGAGAACAATTCTACCACAGGTTGGTGGTTATTATCATAGTCCTGTGAAGATATCGAGAATAGAGCAGGTTTAAGCCGACTCTGAGCTATATCAAAAAAATCTTTCTTAAAGATGGTCACTTGGTGCATGTAAGTTTATGCACACCTTATTTGTGAACGCCAAGTATGCTAGCTGGTTCTGTGAACTGAATCGTATAGAGTGTTGAATATATTGTCTTGTGATACAATTTGGAGGTTTATGGGGACTCATTTATTGATTCTGAGTTGGCATTCATCACGAACTGACTGACATCGATTGGAGAATCATTGGAAACCTGGGAGCATAGTTACTCAACAACTGCAATGGATGGAGGTCGCGAATTACTGAAAGCAGGAAATGTGGACCATGGAACCTGACCTAATGGGGGGGTCCTGGCTGCGCGCTGCTGAAGAATCCTGTACTAGGACGAAACAGCTGTCCATTGTTGCCAGGTTTCCAATACCTCTTCAACTGATTTCATTCTTTGGTAGGAACTCAATGATAAAATTATTCGTTCCGTATGATCCTTTTCACTAAAACTTACACATGTTTTCTTTCTTGTTTCATATTTTTCTCCGCTACTCATACAACTTTCACCTTCAATGACTCGTCTATATACTTATGGGTCAATCGTATTGTTTTTTTCCTATGAATACTGCGCGTGTTTACAATTTGATGAACCAATGATTTCTACATTCTTTTATTCATCACCAGCTACGGTAAGTAGAAATATGCTAAAATACTGGCAGTTTTCATTTACTGATTTATTTTCTTGTCGATTTTGTTCACTAGTTATGGTTTATCCTTTATTAGTATGTACTCTGATAGCTTAATTGTGTTTTCTATCCTTAGCAATAATACTTCGCTACATATATCATTGTTTAGTAGTGGGCTGTATGTCGCCCCAAAATACTGTTGACTGTTAAAACCGATGTGGGATTGTGCACATTTTTAACTCATGTTGGAGTGTTTGATGAAAGTAACGAAGCCAAACAGCTGAATCACAGCACCACTTTTTGTGTATCTGTTCATATTTCATTGTTGCCTGTGAAATTATTGTTATTCAGTTTTCAGTATCCACTGAACTGACTGTGCAACATTGTCTTTGTAGTCCCCCCTCCCTACATACAGAAAAACATGTATGAACGTTAACTGAATTTCATCTCCTCAGACAGGGGGATATAACAGTATCCTCCTCAGCCAGACTGGTTTCCATCCATCTTGAGTTTGTTGCTAGAGTAGTGACAAAGATTTTATTCCCATTACGGAAACTTTTCGGATCCAATATTTTTTTCTGAACTAATAAGCGCACGATAACTCCATACTGTTGTATTCAAGCATGATAAACATCTTGAGAGCTTAAATTTGGACTTAAACAGTTTGCGATACAATAATGAGCAAAAGTTGGAGGTGGGTTGGGGGTTAAGAAACCGCGAGAGATAAAAAAGTCACTAACCCATGTTCATCCCCACTGAGGATACTGTACTGGAATGTTAGTGCTTGATGTAGTTTATTTCATTAATCCATTGAACACTTTTATCGGTAGAATATCTCATTCTTAGCTACCCTTCAATTACTCATTATTTAGTTATGGTACTGCAGTTCTCACTGCCTTAAATGCTCGATTTCCAGACAATGAGTTACAAGAATAAATAGGATCTCACTTTTCAAGTTCAAGCAACCAAACAGTGTCATCAGAGATTATAAAATAGGTGTAAATTATAGTCTGATGCAGCGATCTGTGCATTTTTGTCGAAATGTAACAGTTTTACAATATTAAATTGTAGTTGAAATGAAATGTCAACATAGGGCTTTCATCTCGTCTTAACTAACCTAGCCTAGCCTGAAATGTTGTGTAATTCTGGAGATCATTGCAATTATCTTCAGGGTTGTTAATTATTACAGTTTCTAGGACCAGTAATCATTTGCTATACAACTATGAATCTTTGGCATAGTTTTGTAGCGTAATTCCATATTAGATTTGTTTATTTGGTGATATGATAAACCATGATGCAGTATTAGAGGGTGGTAAGTGAAGTGAGAGTAGAATTTTTTTCGGCTTCACAATACTAGTCAACCAATTAGATAGTTTGATCTACCGAAAGGATACAGTCACTGGAAGGTCAAGTGCATAAGCCAAACTTACTGGTTCGACAGAGTAACAGTCCTAAAGGTTATTGTAGTTAGTTGGAGGGGGAGAGGTTGATAACTTCATCTTTGTTCATCGAATCAACGCTTGGTGTATGCATTAAGAAAGTGCAAAACGAATACCAGATGTATCAAAAGTCATGTCACCGATGATATCGAAGAAAAAACAACAGTAGATCTTTAAAGGCAGAATCAGAAAATTATAGGTTTTTTTCAGTTTGCACCATCTTCAGTGCATATTAACGGTATACTCTATTTTCCTGTGTGAATGTGAAATGAGACTGTTGGTAATGAAGTATCTGTGGTGATCACCCTTATTTGATCACTGATGCTGATATATAAGCATCGAGTGAAGTGATTCGTGGATATTTTAAGCACAGGTTACTACCATTTATGTCAGAAATTTGTTGATTAACGTAAGAAAAGGATTGAATAAGCTTCAGTTAAGTGTGACTAGAGCTTGCCACAAAGACATAGAATGCCTCTACTGTTAGTATGATCCATATAGAAGGCTATTGGTTGCTAAGTTTGGGACTAGGGTATTGATGTCTGCCGTATCCTAATTATAAGCGTGAAATAATTAATTTCCTCTACTAATTTTAGAGGTTGATTAGATGAAAACTTCATTTCCAGTAGATAACTAGTAGTGAGAGGTGCACATGTTGTACCTGTTTTGTTGTTAATGTAAATTCGTTCACCACGTCCGAAAATGAATCAGCAAACTATTATTAGTAGGCGGAAAAAGAAGGGAAAGGTGGTAATAGTGATAGGAAAAAAGATATTCAATCATTAAGTCAGTGTGTTTCACTACCAATTAATCAAGCCTACTTAACTTATCTATCAATAAGTGGATCCGTTTATACATTCTAATCAGTAATATATATATGATGTGGATACGTTTATGTGCATCCGTGGCTTAGCACATATACATGCACTCCATCCTCACTAATATGTTGTTTATGTTAAAGTAGTAGTTATTATGGGTCATTCATTTTGTGTTTATTAGTGTTTAAATGTGGCAGTGTAAGGATAGCATTTTCCAATAATTCATAAAAATATATTCATCATTTCGATCACTTACTTCTGATATATACGTATATGGAGATTTTAATTTTATAGAAGTATTCACTATGGACCGACATTAGTTAGAGAACCATTGAAAATCTGGGCACATTGGACAACTAACTGTTTGTCCTAGTTTTTGGGGCTCCTTAGCAGTGTGAACCGTTGAGCCCTTGAAAAGTCGAAGCAAGAATTGTCTGATGTCGTGGAGCGTAGATTATCACTCAATTACTGCGTCGACCATTGGTCTCCAACCCTAGTGGCTGAATGGTTGACGAGTTTGCCGTGAAACCTGAAGACCCTTAGCTCAATACTTGGTGGGGTAGGGTCGTGGGTATGTACTACTACTATTGAGGAGTCCTACAGTAGGAGGGAACACCTATCTATTGCTTCCAAGTACTCAGTGGTCCTCCAACTCATGAATACCACCTTTATATATATATATATATATATATATATATATATATATATATATATTAGCTGCAGAAAAGTAATACTTGTCTGATCGATGATACCAACTGATGAAATTAACCATGTGGGTTGATGGGTCCTAACGCCCGTTATTCTATCATGAAGAGTTTCAGCATACATTTATTTACTAAGATGAATGAGACTTCAGTTATTAATTTATTAGCTTCAAGTGAGTAACTAAATTTTAGAAGATTTCTTAATTTTTTTATAAAGTGTGTTAATCCACCTCATTCATACTAACCTTATAATAGAGTAGATTTGTTGCTAAGGTTCGATATGATGATTTCTTATTTGTTCTCCTAGCTTTGCGGTTGTTTTTTTAACGTTTCATCACCAAACTAAGTGACTACATCAGCATATACTTCTTAAAAAAGTGGTGTTGCTCATTGGCATAAAGAGAAAACCTTTAACCAATGGGTTATGGGTTCGAGTCCCTCTCGTCCTACTGAGATTTAGGGAGTCAGTTTGTAGTATTAGCATCATTAACTTTCGCACAATAGATGTCTGATTGCTCACTGCACGATTGGGCGCACAAGATAGCTGAGTGTATTCTGCATTTCGATATCTTGAAGCATTTTAAAGTTGTATGAATATGTATATATGTATGATATTTACCGACTCAGCATTATTGGCGTGTATGTGAGGTTGACCTGCATAATTATTGTGACCATTCGACTCCTAATGCCCTACTGTTGATTATCTTGCAGTTTTCGAGGTTACATGTCATAGTATTTCCAGTTGATTTTGTCCTTGTTCTCATCTACACGCATCGATATCAATGAGGATATATCATGTCGTTTGACTGTAAACCGACGCTCATAAATTCTTTGGGCAATTCAACGACTGGATGACGTCAGTCAAGACCTGAGTAGCTCATCGGTAATATCACTGACCAAAACACTTTGTGATACGGGTTCCAGCCTCCGATGGGATCATCAATTCCTTCTTCGTGGTAGATGCACCTATCTAATGAGTGCCAACAAGTAGAAAACCTAGGTCGAACAGAGCTTCTTACAGTCAGCATCCAACCTACTAGCACCCCTCAGAGTACACCACGGTGGTGAGCCTCCTTGCTCTGTAACTACATTACAAAATGATCGATAGAAGTCGTTCAACAGTGCGGACTAGACTACATGAAATTTGTTGCTCCGTAGTATTCAATCACTGCATTCAGTGGTTTCATTTGTTAGTGCCAGGTGCTGCTGTAGACATTCTATACGGTTAGTTGATGCAGGCGATTCGTTAATAGTGCTTATCATTATTATTTGTCTTTTCGGGTTCTGATGAGCCTTGTTCTACGACTGCCCATAAGCTCTCATTTCTTCCTCATATCGTCTCCTCCATGTCACCCTCGGCCAAGACGCCCAACTCGTCGTTTCCCCTTCGGCTTCCACTCGACGGGCTGACCTGGCGCGTGATGTTCACCGAATGGTCTTCTCAGTATATGCCCAATCCAATCCATTTCCACTTTCTACTGCATATTTATTGGGTGATAGGTTTTGGTTGGTTTGTTTCCACGCCAGAGTTCCTTGTTGATTATTCTTTCTGGCCATCTGATCTTCAGTTTGGAATGAGCGTAGATGCCAGCTGTTGATGATGTATGTGTGCAGTTTGTTGGAAATGGTTTTCGTAACGCGCCAAGTCTCTCAACCATATAGAAGCACTAACTGGACATAAGTGTTAAAAATCCGGATCTTGTTCACGCTTTATGCTGAGTCCACTGCAATGCAGTAGACCTTCACACTGAATTCATATTAATGAAGACCTGCCTTGCTTTTCCGATCCTAGCTTTGACATCCTCATCTGTGCCTGTGCCGCCTTTAGTTGAAACGATGCTGCCCTGCCTAGGTAAGTGAAAAAAACTACTTCCTTCACATCTCTCCCGTTGATGGTGATTGGTGCTTGTTGTTTTTGTTGGTGGTGTTGGTTGGGTATATTCACCACTTCTGTCTTCCCTATACTCACTTGAAGTCCTGTTTTCGCTGCCCTGCCTCTGTCAACTTGTTGGTTTTTGATTGTAGATTTCCGAGTTTGTGAGACATTAGATATGATAAATCATCGGCGAAATTCTAATCTTCTTGGATGTTTTCATCGGTCTAGCCAGCGTATGCCAATCTTCTCGTTCCTCACAGTTTGTTTCATGATCCAGTTCAGTCGACCACAATCAGGAAGATCATGGGTGATATTAGGGGGCAGTCTTGTCTTACTTCTTTCCCTTGTCTTCACTTCAAAGGCATTGCCAAGCTTTCCATTGTGAATCACTTTCCATGTAGCATCATATAGCATATAACTGTTGAATGCGGTTGATAAAGGTTCGTGGCAATAAAGCATTAGTGTTGAAGCAGCTACAAAATTACTTCTCGGTCGACGTTATCGAAGCCCTTTTCGAAGTCGATGAAGTTGTGTTGAGTTGAGTTGACTGCCATTGTATTCTCTGTTCTATGATAATGCGTTGTATAGCGTTGCAATCGAATCCGCACATGATTTGTTTTCCTGAATCCAGCCTGTTCAGGTCGTAACTTTGAATCCAGAGCATTGTTTGGTCTCTCTAGGATGATGTGGCTTAATATTTTGCTTGGGGTGGACAGGAGCATGATTCCGTGCCAGTTCTAGCAGACTTAGTTCACTCTTCTTTTGGAGTTTGACAAGGTAGCCTTTCTTCCAATCAGTTAGCGGGTACCTTTCCTTCCTTCTAAACCTTTTGCAATAGTGATGTATATCCGCTGTTGTCTCTGCGTTTGTTTACAGTTCTTCTTGAGAATTCTATCTGGTCTTGTTTCTTTCCCGGTTTTCATTAACTTTATGGCGTTCAGGACTTCTGCTTTCGTTGGAAGGTTTGTGTTAACTGATAGTTAGTTGGTTGGAAGCAATCGGCAGGAAGCCCTGGACCTAAGTTTCATGCTTTTTGGCACTTGTTAGCATGGCGTGTTTACAACCTCGACGGAAATGATGTTCCGCCTGAGATTCGAACCCGCGGTTGACCTCCTGATAGTTATTTGGCTGGGCTGCTGGTGATATTTCTGGACAAGTTGCCAGTGGTGGTCGATCCAAGAGTTTTTTGAAGTGGTCAGAACAGAAATCTAAATTTCCTCCAATAAGGTTTTAATCCCACTTTGCACTATTAAATAAACAACGTTCGAGACTATATTTTAATTAACAGTAGGTTTACCGACTTTCTTAGATTTTGATCAATATTTATTGCTAATTTTGGAAATTTTCACACTTTTCATCTTTTTCTTAAATGTTTTTTAACTGACTTTTTATTTCTGTCTATTTTATAGAGTCCTTTAAATGTGACTGATTGTAGTGATCGAACTCCAAGTCGTGGTCCTGATCCGTAAGTAATGATTTTGATGTTTCTTGTCTATTCAGTTATTCCTTTTTCTAATAAAATTGATTTCCACTTAACATCGAAACCTATGGGATGGTACTATGGAATGGTACTATATGTAGACTACTGTTTAACTTCTCACTGAAACCCCAGTAGTCTTAGAGACTTTACTTCTAATTCTTTCCTCAACAAATGTTTTCTTCAGACTTCAGTCATTATTCTTATATATTTTTAATTTATTTTCTGTAAAAAATGAACTCATTTGTATATTCCTCAATCGTGAATAGGATAATCCAGCTGAAACAAGAAGATGCATCTCACTGTTTGATAAGGGTTTGATGACTAGCGAACTGGGTAGGATTTTGTTAAACAGGACCGAATATATGGATCAAATGTTTTCTTTTGAAGTTTTTTAAACAACTTAGAAGGTGAAACCACTTTTCTTTCAGCTTTACAAAGTATGTCATGCAGACAGTCATCAGGTAAAATCATTTGCTTACCAACAGCCTTTATCACAACATCCTATTAATCATAAAATTATAAGCTGCAGTTACTGTTTAACGGTCTCACTTGTACAATTTTTATAATTGGTTTTTTAAAATTATTATTTTTCCTTTTGGGTTCCTGGGGGAATATAGGGGTGCAGTAGCACGTCTCCGTTGCACTCTGTTCTCTGCAGTCTTATGAACCTTGTTCCACGACTGCCCATAAGCTTTCATTTCTTCCTCACACCATCTCCTCCATGTCATCCTCCGCTAGGATGCCCAACTTGTCGTTTCCCCTTCGGCTTCCACTCGACGGGCTGACATGACGCGTGATGTCCCCAGTCGGTCTTCTGAGGATACATCCAATCTAAGCCATCTCCACTTTTTTCTGTATATTTGTTGGGCGATAGGCTCTTGGTTGGTTGGTTGGTTTCCAGGCTAGAGTTTCTTGTTGATTATTGTTTCTGGTCATCTCATCTTCAGTATCGACAAATCCAATAGGTGGGGTTTATTTTCCCAATCAAGGTGATCGCTTTTTCGAGTTAGCAACAACTGGAGTAACCAATCAGACTTCTCTGTTTTGTGAAAATCTGCCTTTCCAGACAGAATAAAAAAGCCTAATTGGTTATTTCGATCGTTGATTGAGTGGCATTTAAACTAGCCATGGATGCACTCTGCTGAGGAGTCGCATACTAGGACGAAACTGTTGTCCAGTGCTCCCAGGTTTTCAGTGGTTCTCCAACTGATGTCCGTCTGTGATTAAATCAGTAAATGAATCTTTAAAAAACTCCAGATTGAGAATGTATAACTATCGTGCATACAGGTAACAGGATTCTTATTCTGTAAATACACATAGACCGGTGTTAAGTGCTTGTTTAGAACTAGAGGTTGGTTGACTATCCGGTATGCCTGGTGCAGGTGAACTAAAATGAATGTAGAATTGTGGATTATATTAGTTTTTTACTGCAGGCCAGACAATTTAGTACAATCAACGACGAGTAATTACAAGTAGTAGCATCAAAACTATACCCGTCGCCTAAGAAATGACCAGTGTAACTCGCTGGCGCAGTTTGATAACGCTCTGACGTTTGAAGCAATCAGTCCGGCGTTTGCGTCTTAGTGGGAACACCATTACTCCCTGAGTGGCATTTACATCCGGCTGAGTCCCAAATAGAACGAAATGAGCATTCTTGACTCCACGGTTAGCCATCAGCCATCTTTATTACTGCTTACTTCTAAAATATCCAATGGCAGTACAAGCGATACATAATTTTTCTGCAACCAACGTCGAATGAACTACACGAATAGACGAAGTAACATTGATTCCGTTATTCCGTAAATTGCCATACTTAGTCATAGGCGTGTATAGCAAAAACTCATTCTATATGAGAAAACATTAAAACCCCACGGAAACGAATAAGTAAATAATGAGGTTTAGATGTTGAATTAGTATCTACAAACATTAGTTTATGAAATTCCTAGTTACCAAGTTTGAAGTTCTCACTACTCAAACTTGAATAGTGGGACTTCATGAATTGGCTGCAACATGCATATACAGAAGGCACATCGTAAAATTCTTAACAATACTGGGTAGCATTTAAACCCACAAACTCGCTCAGAAAGCTTGTGGGCTAAAAGACCAAGTTGAACCAACTAAGAAAAATAACCGAGTCTATCAAATACCATGTGATGATTGTGAGGTCAAGTATATAGGTCGAAGCACCCGATCTGGGTCAGTCAGAATAGAACACAACAATTTAGCGAAACATACAATAGTTGGTCTCAGTAAGATAACTAATTTAGAGAAAAGCTTGGCAATCGTTGTGTATGCATTTATCCATAATCACACAATAGAGTAGGTAGGATAGGATTATTCATTGGCGATCGGAGATATCTGGAAACATTTACTACCATTAAGATAAATGATTGAAGAGATGTTGAACTACATAAAAGAAGAATCCATGGTGCGCGTTTCGCCGTATTTGTGACTCATTAGCTGGGTGTATCTTCACTCTGTTGTTCCCACTGAGACTGGAACCTTGTACCCATCGCTTCAAACGCCAAAGCACTACCCACCAGGTCATTGAGTCACGATACACACCTTGTACAATGAGTACTAGGTATCAGTATTTATAGATATGCTTAGAGTACAGGTACATCCACCTGAGGAGTGCTGAATTGTGAGAGACGGGTGTCCTGGATTCTTCTGCTAGCCACAACCAATTAAATTATCATAGTTAACAATCAGGCAATATCGATGAATTTGGATATGAACCCATATGCTAATAGAGGTTGAACAATTCGATGGAGTAAAACAACTGAGAATTACAAGTATATCTATAAATAGTGATGTATAAAGGAAGTTTGAAAGTTGTATGATTACTTTGATATGAATATGAGTAATAAATTGTGTTTGAAACATCATCCAGTAAATGATACTACATCACTGTATGCCATTTCAAATATACTATCTAATCTACTACACTGCCTTAGTTGTTTTTATATCTTGAAGCGGACCACTTTGGTGCTTTCTACATCTCTTGTACATGGGAGTAAGCAGGGACTTTATTGAGACAGCTTTTACATCAACTATCTATGTCAGTGCAGATTCACGAGTCAAGTGACCTATTCATTTCTTTTAACTAATACAATGACGATGTAAAAGAAAGCGAATTATTGAATCTGGTTAGATGTTCTCTTGTATCGCAAGTTAATTGTGTTTTGCGATTCCAATCCAACCCATTGTGCACATTAGTGAAGTGTAGCCTACCGCTATCCAATTAAGGCGTGTACGTTTCAGTGAATCGGCAAGACAAGCAACACATGAAAAGACGGAAGACGATTGCAACCAAGAAAAAAGTTTTTTTCGACTAAATCATTCTCAGTTGTACACTAATGAACGTGTGATAGGAACTGTAGTGCATTCCTGAGTAAATTCCCGTCTAAAGTCAAAATGAACTGCACGGCAAAGGTGAGTTACCAAGTGTCTATATGCGTTCTAATGGCTAAGTGAATAAAATGATTATAAAACGAAATATAGTTACGTTATATAAAGTGATCGATTCTCTAGGCTGACCATAAGAAAGAAAGAGATTGTACATGCTATTATTGAACACACAATAGTAGTTCAGACTTTTGAATTGGTAGTGCTTCAGCCATATCCGTATGCCTCAACTTCTTACTCGTTTCGACTGGTTTGTTGGGAGGTTGTAAAAAATGTTGAAGGTCTTATGAAGTGGAGTGAAGTATCGTGAGTTTATTAAGTGTTCTATCCTACGGTTTTCAGTCAGGTTGGATAGTGTAGTGTATGCGAGCGTGTTGCATAAGCTGGAGAATGATATGGACGATCTACTTGACTGTAGAGGAGTGAGTAAACAGCTACACTCGTTTATATGGCCTAATGCTGCATTTGTTGCATTGTGTTGTCAACTGGTGAGTGGTTCTGTCGCTGGAGAATATGATTGTGAGATTGATGGCAAAGGATGTTTTGTTTATGGATATTGATAGTGACTTTGTGAGGATATCTGCCATATTATCTGTGTTGAGTTGGAGGTGCAATAGTGAAATGTGTATTTTGAGCAGTATTGAGTTGTTGGGTGAGTTTTTTTTTTTTCATGTTTCGATTGTTATCTATAGATTTCAATCAGAATATCTCACAAGGTTTCTAGTTCACCATTGCTTGTATCCTCCGTGTGTATTCTTCGTGTTCTCGACAAACTCCTTTCCAAGTGACCTCTCTGTAATTAGATCTCTGTACTAAATTGTCATATTTTTATTTTCAAGTCGAATATCAAGAAATTCTGATTTCCAGTTCGTTTTTGCTTTTGTAGTTGAGTTGATAAAGGATGTGAGTACTACTGAAAGTTTGAAGCAGGTTTTAGAGATTCATATTGTTGACACAAATGATAAAGGTATGAAGCTGGTTAATTATTTTTGATAAGGTTGTGTTTTCTTTGCTTGCCATAAGTGGAATCATCTAGGAGGGATCCTAGAGACTATCTTATTACCACACTATCTCTCTGTCTTTAGATTTTGTTTTTTAATTTGAAGGGCACTTTAAAAGTACATCTTAGAAGCTTTTTTTCGAATAGTGGTGTGTAATATCAATGTATAAATTAACGGACTGAATGAAGTCATACAGAAAACAAACAGATTTCATTAGTGGAACATTTTTAAGTAGGGATATTGAAATCCTTGTGAAACGCACTCGCGAACACTTCAGGACATTACTGACAGAGGGTGAACAGAAATGCATCTTATACTATGGAACAGAATACATAGTAAACTCAGGGCACTTGAATCCTTTTGATAAGTCCTTCAAGATTTTGTATGAAAAACATTCGAAAGGAGTGAAGTTGAAATGTCTGGGTAGCATAGCTGAGGCATTAGCGATTCGAAAGTTTAAAACGTTATCTTGCTTTCAATAAAAGTATGTATGTACAACTTCATTCTTTCTCATGGATATCATAAACGACCGATCACTCTAGATAATCCCCTGATGACATAACCATATCTGATTAT